TTGTTACAGACTGTTGGTTGGTTGTTGTTACAGACTGTTGGTTGTTGTTACAGACTGTTGGTTGGTTGTTGTTACAGACTGTTGGTTGGTTGTTGCTACAGACTGTTGGTTGGTTGTTGTTACAGAGTGTTGGTTGTTGTTACAGACTGTTGGTTACTGCTGTTTTTACAGACTATTAATGTTGTGGGTGTAGATGAGTCAGTGCTATTGTTGTTGCTGTTGTTTTTTTAATTTATACTGTCATCTTATTAGCTCTTGGTATATTGTAATAACAAGTATAATGGTTTCAAGAAATTATTCTTTAATAAGTGGATGGTTTGCCAGATATAGAAATCGTATAATTAAGATGTTCGAGTTGTTTTAGACCGCATTTGAAAAGCAACATAAAGGCAATAAAAATATATACAAGTTATTTTTAGTGGGTCATGAATAATTTCGAAACTTTAATTAAAAACAAAAACAAAAACAAAACACCTGATTGACAAGTGTACGAGTTGTGAATACTAATGAGTATAGAATAGCGCAGCGCACAGATTCTAAAAATAGCTTAAAGATTCGGACAAACATTGCATTCTGTTTAACCGCTACGAGGATTATACGAACCGATTTTATTATTTTTACTTAAAGTTACAATAACAACCCATGTAAACTAAGATCAACTGCGATCGGCTGTGAAAATTATCTGCTGRAAGTAAACTTGTAAGTTTGTTTGTCCAAATTTCGCCTTTGTCTCCGTTTTTATGACGTCACGGTTGCGCTGCGCTATTGCATTCAGATGTGTCCAAATCTCCAATGGCGGCTATAGAAACCGGCAATGGTACTATTATCCATATCGGTGCATTTAGTCTTCCTCGAACACTGAGTTATCCTTCGGACCTTTTAGGGGACATTCAGCTCGCTTTCTGTGCGTTCTTCCATTTCAGCAGGGTGATTTTTTATATTGCTTTTCCTTCCTCGATTCTATAAAGTGAAATGCCATACCGTGCTGAGTCTATAGAATTCTCTTCAACCAAGACCTAAGTCTATAAAATACTTATTTTTTCCATATTTATCATATTGAATGACTGGGTGAGGACGCTGCAAGTCTCGTGATCATCTAAATAACATTTGCAGCATCGACTTTCTGAAATCTCTCATTCTACTAACATAGACTATTGGATTGATTAGTGAGTTAATGAGATGTATAAAATCATTTTGAAGTCCAAAAACGATATTTTCAGTTTCTGTCGTAGTTTGAAGAAAGCTGTGGTAATATATGGCAGCCATGCGATAAGTAATAATATTGTCACAATAAACAGGGTCATCCCAAGATGTTGTTCTCGCTTTCGGGCTCTACGTAGTGCTGCTGGGAGTTGGCTTGACTGTAGTCGTTTTGCTTGTATCTTCACTTTCATGAACATGGCGGCATATGATATACATATTGTGACGAGACAGACGAGATACAGGACGAGAAGTCCAGTTACCAGCCTAACGCCAAAGGATGATGTAACTTGTTCTTGTACGTAGGGCCCTAACACAGACACCGGGATAAGCCAAGTTACAGCAAACGCCCCGAAGTAAGTCCTGACTCGAGTTGTTCGATGCTGAAATGGAAAGTAAGTGGCGTAGACTCGTTCAAGTGAAACAAGGACCAAAGAAAGCAAACAGATCGTGACATCTATATCTAATATATTTCCTACAACATTTTTTACGACTACAGAAGTGAACCACTGTGATCCAAAGTAAAAATCATATGCACATAAATCAGCTGCTACTCTCAACACACCATACATCATGTCAACCACTGCCAAGTGGATCAGGCAGTACACACTACGACGACGAAGATGTCTGTTGACGAGAAATGTCAGAATGGTTAGCAAGGTTTGAGGCGACAACAAGGAAACTGACGACTATGCCGACAGAAAACATGATTATAGCACTCTTCCTTGATATACTCTCAAGGGAAATAAAGGAATTGCTGTTATTCATGGCGCTGGCTTTCTCAGTAGTTATGCAGAGGTTAGTTATGCAGATGTGGGTTTGTGCGTCTTTCAAGAAATACTCAACTTGGTCCCTGTTGGGTTGCTCTTTAGGGGCCTGTCGTAAATGCCAAAGTCAAGAGGCAGACATACTAGATCTATACTACGTATCTCAGTACGGTTCCTTTTCAAATTCTACACCCAAATTTAATCAATGAAGATCAAACTAAGGCTTTGTTCAACGTCAGTGATAACCGATCTTAAGAGGTATCTTCAATTTAATCGGGCTTTATTTGCTTTCAGCAATTAAGTTTTCCGTTATAGGAGCAACTTATAGACCGCCAAATGTGTACCATAAATGGATGACTTTCGGAAGTTCAGTCCCACTTGAACCAAGTAGGTCAAATAGTCTTTTCTTGAATTCATTACAGGGTTTGCCTACTTTCGAACGTTCGATTTGAGCCCACGATGCATGTGCGCGCGCTCAAAAACCTGCTGAAAAATCTACAAGATTATATTGAAGAATCATACGCGTTTTGAGCTTCAACAGGGCAAAACCCTCATATTTTGCACGGGACCCTCTATTTTTTAATAACTTATTTGAATAAACTCCTAAAAATTTAGGTTATATTAACATTTTAGAAAAAGTTAATTTTTCTAACGCATGAAAAAATAGATTTTTGTAGGGATTTTTGTTCGACTTTATCAGTGAGATTTTTTAAGAGCACCGAAACTTCAAAATATGACAAATCAACGTATCTCTTTGTCTTTTTGACGAAAATATCCACGTATTATTGTAAAATGATTGACTAGCCGTCATTCGTGCAATCATATAGTCTGCAAATAATTATTATCTTATGAATCTTAATTTTTTTCTAATCACATCCGGTGCCGCAATTTCTGCTTCAAATGCTCGCGCGTAGGCTTCCATTAAATGATGATATCTCGAAAACAAGCTCGGGACACCCAATTTTTCTTTCCAGATTTGGAATCAGCATTAAATTCCAATTCCAATTCGGAAAATCGAAGTTTTAAAAAAGGTTTAAATTTTTTCCCAAAAGTAGGCCTTAAGTCACCTTAAGTCATCCTGATGATGTCCTGATATTCACCTTATGGTCCATCGTCAACCTCATTTGTATTCGGGCGGTCATAATGGTTTTAGTATTGACCATATCTGATATGTATGTTTACACCAAATTTATAAGTCGTTGTCGAGTTCAAAAAAGTTCAATCATAGAAGCTAAGAGCGAAGGGTGTTCTGGGTAAACAATTAAGAGCAGGCCTCTGTAAAAATCAAACAAAGTTGAAAATAATTTTTTAAACCCCCGTTAAATAAAGTTCTTATGAAGCGTATTTTCACATTGTCTCAATGCGCTTTACATTGCAGTGGAGGACTTTACGGGCTGCATATTAACTTGCTTTGATGAGCAGGACGCCCGGGGGTGCCACGAAAACTCCCCCTTTTTAGGGTCCACAAATGTATTGTTGCCATGAAAACGGCAGACTTAAAATGTTTTGCTTTATTTCCACTTACTACACAAAAAGTGTTTTAAAAACAGTAAGGCGTTTAGTTAAAAAAATCATTCACATGTAATCCAATTAGATATAGTCACAATATTTATGCCATTATGAAGTCACTGTAAAAATAGGGCGTCGATGTTTCTTTTCTTGTAGCCATAGTAACGTATCTGACCGTTTTGATCTTTGTACAGAAGGCTCGCACACGCTATTTGAGGCATTACAAACGATCTTCAGTGTTTTTTGAACGTTTTTTTCAGATTTTCCTTTTCTTGCATGCATTAAGAGGACAGCAAGGGCTTGTGGTTCATCACGTTTACTGTCGACGTCATTACAGTGCTTATTGGTGAACAGGCACAAATCTTGTAAGGCATCCTGAAGATTGTCAGACAGCTAAATAAGTAGATAATGTATCATTAAAAAAACATTGGTTGTTGACGAGAAAATTACTGTACCAGAAAATATGACTATCTCTACGTTGGTTAGGAAAAATCATAGTTCTAGTGAACGTAGAAATGTGAGATCCAAGCTTTCGGAATAATAAGTCCATCTTAAATAAATATAATAAATCTTAAATTAAATCCAAATTACTAGCTTCCCTTCTGTTCCCTTGGTTAATATTAGAGACTCCCTCTCGCTGCAAGAGTCTTGGCACTGATTTTCAAAAATTGCTTATTTTTTCGTGATGAAGAAGACTGAAGAAGACGAAGGAGATAAGTAAAGTATAGTAGTAGAGGAAGAAGAAGAAGAAGAAGAGGAAGAAGAACAAGAACAATAATAATAAGAAGAAGAAGTAGAAGATGAAGAAGAAGA